TTGTGCTGCAGAGGCTAGTGGGCAGAAGTAGGAGGGCCTGGCTGAGGCCACGATAGGGGAGACATGGGGAGAAACTTATTTATGGGTTCCTTTGAAAAGCAAAGGGGAAAGAAACGGGTTTTAAGTTTTAGATCCTTTGATTCACAGAGCTTTAGCATTTAAAGGAAAGGCTCTTTATTCCTGACGACTAAAATTCATTTTACTCAGTTAATCAGTATACTGAAGTTGGTGATTATTACTGTGGTTTTTATGTTTTATCTGTGCTATACAAAGCATGAATTTAACCTTTGTTTTGTTTTTTGAGGCAGGGCTTCTCTGTGTAGTCCTGGCTGTCCTAGAACCTGCCTTCTAGACCAGGCTGTCCTTGAACTCACAGTGACCTACCTGCCTCTACCTCCCAAGTGCTGGGATTAAAGGCATTCCCCACCATGCCTGGAGAATTTAGCCTTTTCTAAATACTACTGTCCCCAAGTTATTTTTGAAAAATTCGTATCTTCTGAAGAGTTGGGAGTGGTCAGTGTGCAGTGGGCACCTTCCTTTGATCTGGAGTCACTAGTTGTTAGTAGTGTGCACAGTTGCTTTCTCGTAAATGTGTATGTATTCTGGATTTCTTCCATCAGTTGTTAGCCTGGGATTCCTAAGCACATCTTCATTAACTAATAACATTTCCATGTTTTAGACATTTTATTATAAAATCCAAAACTAATATTTCTTCTGTATCCACATTTCCTCAGTTGTCTTTAAAACTTAGTTTAGAACTTTTTTTGCAATTTTTTTAAACTTCTATTAATTACACTTTATTCACTTTGTATCCCCCCATAAACTCCTCCCTCCTCTCCTCCTAATCCCACCTTCTCTCCCCCTTCTTCACGCATGCCCCTCCCCAAGACCACTGATAGGGGAGGTCCTCCTCTCCTTCCTTCTGATCCTAGTCTATCAGATCTCATCAGGAGTGGCTGCATTGTCATCTTCTGTGGCCTGGTAAGGCTGCTCCCCTCTCAGGGGGAGGTGATTAAAGAGCAGGCCAGTCAGTTCATGTCAGAAGCAGTCCCTGTTCCCATTACTATGGAACCCACTTGGACACTGAACTGCCATGGGCTACATCTGTGCAGGGGTTCTAGGTTATCTCCATGGTCCTTGGTTGGAGTATGAGTCTCTGGGAAGACCACTGTGTTCAAATTTTCTGGTTCTGTTGCTCTCCTTGTGGGGTTCCTGTCCTCCCCAGATCTTACTAGTTCCCACTTTTTTCATATGATTCCATGCACATTGCCCAACAGTTGGGCATCAACAGTCTCAGCATCTACTTTGACAGTCTGCAGGGCAGAGCCTTTCAGAGGCCCTCTGTAGCAGGTTCCTAACTTGTTTCCTGCTTTTTTCTTCTTCTGATGTCCATCCTCTTTGCCTTTCAGGATGGGGATTGAGCATTTTAGTCAGGGTCCTCCCTCTTGATTAGTTTCTTTAGATGTACAGATTTTAGTAGGTTTATCCTGTATTATATGTCTATATGAGTGAGCATATACCATGTGTGTCTTTCTGCTTCTGGGACAGCTCACTCAGGATGATCCTTTCCAGTTCCCACCATTTACCTGCAAATTTCATGATTTCCTTCTTTTTCATTGCTGAGTAATATTCCATTGTGTAGACGTACCACAGTTTATCCATTCTTCAGTTGAGGGGCATCTGGGTTGTTTCCAAGTTTAGAACTTTTTTAAAACATAAAATCCAATTAAAAATCACATGAGGCTGGGTGCAGGTTTTAGGACAGCCAATGCTACAGAAAAACCTTAAAAAAAAAAAAAAGAATCACCTGGCACATCTATTTAGCTCTTTAATCATCTGTATTTGCAAACCTTGGTGCTCCCCTTTTTCTAAGAGGGTGAGAATTTGACATGCTTTAGCTGTTTAGGAAGAGCTTACATTCATGTCTTTTGATCTTAAACGTCAAAATCAACTTGACAGGTGACAGGTGCCCTCAGCATATCTCCGTAGGAGGTTCACATGGATGTGTCCTGTGTCATCTTTTGGTTAAATGTAAAGGTTATTTCCCATTGGAGCGAGTGATTTGTGGGGGGATACTTTCAGGTTGCATATCTGGGTCCCAGGAAAATCTTTAATCTTTGAATTAATAATTTCTATTAAAATATTGTCATTTCAATTATGCTATAATAAGTATAACAAGCCTGGCTATCCATTCTTTTCTGACATCATACACCTTAAAATAACTTTCAGGCTGGAAAGTGATTAAGAGCCCATGCTATACAAGCATGGAGTTTAGACCTAGGAACTAGCATAAAAAGCTGGACAGGGCTGCATAGGTGCCTATTAACCCTAGTACCTTGGGGGCATAGATGGGAAAGAGGCTCTCGAGGGCTTGCTAGTCAGTCATCACTCACGCTCTGGGAGGGGCTGGGGTAGGAAAGAAGCTGAGAACAGCACAGCACACCTAATATCCTCCTTTGGCTTCTGCATTCCTACAGACATGTACACCCACACACATGCTCACGGTGAGTTGTGACACATTGTTCCAGTTCCTTTGTAAGAAAAATAGGATTAGGACCCCATGACCCCTTGAACCTACTCCCTTGCTTCCCTCCCAAAGGCCACTATTTTTTTCTTTTTATAATTTATTTTTATTTTATGTGCAGTGGTGTTTAGCCTGCATGTCTGTCTGTGTGAGAATGTCAGATCTTGGGAGTTACAGACAGTTGTGAGCTACCATGTGGGTGCTGGGAATTGAATCCGGGTCCTCTGGAAGAGCAGTCAGTGCTCTTAACCACTGAGCCATCTCTCCAGCCCCCAAGGTCACTTCTTAATTCATCATTGCTTCTTCCTACTCATGTTTGGCACTTTCAAGGATGTGTTCGTAGGCATTAAGTAGTATTACTTTGCAGAGCAAAATATAGTAACTATTTTCATACTATATGAAACAATTTATAAATTCCTTTTCATTCAGCATGCTTTTTTAATAGTTTTGCATTCTTATAATTATTGAATAGTTACAGTATTCTGTTGTGCAAACATCTGATTTATGCCTTATGCTATAATGGAATCAGACATTTAGGTCCAATATTTTGCCAAGTGGATGCTTATTATATATACATATCTCATTGGTGAAACCTATGCCCTGTAAGAGGGCTTCTGCACATTATATAACTAGAAGTGAAAATCATGCTTGGGAGGTTTAGAGTCCTGTTTTCACTAGATACAGCTCTGTGTCTTAGTGTTTGCCCCAATGTAGTCTTACCTGCAGGCTCAGAATTCTTGTATTTTCCACACCATTGATGACACCCCTAATTATTGTTTGTGTGATGGAGACCAGAGGTTAGCCTTAGATCTCATGCTTCAGGGGCTATGCACACTACTTTTTGAAACAGGGTCTCTCACTAGCCTGGAACCTGCAGATTTAGGCTAGGTTGGCTGGCTAGCAAACTGTAGGGATTTTTCAGTCTCTATCTCCCCAGCACTGGAACTCAGGTCCTCATGTTTGTGTGGCAAGCACTTTACTGAGCCATCTCCCTAGCCCCAATTGTTGTACTTAAAAAAATAAATCATTATGATGAATGTAAAATGGATCTTAAAGAAGGCGTTTTTTCAATTGAGGACCCCTTCTGATAATTCTAGCTTGTATCAAGTTGACATAAAACTAGCCAGTACATTGGGTTATTTATTTATTTTTTTTTATGGATAGGAAATGATTATATACTAAATTCAGAGTGCCCTCTTTCCCTGGTTTCTCTGCCGGTATTTACTTAAAGCCTACTGGGTTATTTCTCTCAATTTTAATACATTTTAGTATGTCAAACCTATTGACCTTTCCCTTGGTGGTGTGTGTGATCCCTATGTTTTATTTATTTATTTTCTTTCTCTCTCTAATCAGATCTTTGTCAGTTTGGAGGAGTTGGGAGGAGGGAGAGTGAGAGAAGCAATGAAATGGTTGGATGGAGAAACGCAAAAATTCTGATAAAGGGCTGCCCTGAATGAAGAAAAGAAAGAGAAGGATAGGAAAGACTGCTCTAGGTATGTTGGAGGAGAAAGTTTATCGTACGTAAAAGGAGACATAGTCAGAGGCAGACACATTTGGGAGAGTCCACAGTGGACATGACCCTGACTGAAATGGGCCCTGTGGGAAGAAGGGGGACAGAAAGGAAAAGTTGAGAGAACGGAAAGAGGTTCAGGGCCCAAAAGGGCAAAGGTACAAAAAAGGGACGGGTTACCAAAATGGTTGGATTATATGAAGAGCTTCTGGGGAAAGGGCAGCCCAGCCTCTTTGGGCTGGAGAGTTTGGGATAGAGGGCTGGGTATGCCAGCCATACTCTGTAACAGATAGGGACTAAGGGAAGCTGGGAGAACCTGGCGGCCAGGTCCACTCGGATATATTAAATAGGCACCTCAGCCATTTCTACTAGGGTTTGAGACTTAACACTCGCCACTAGGCCCGCTATTTTTTTTTTCTGTTATTTGAAACCAGAGTTCTACTTAAGTAGATAAGTGAAGATAGCAAAGTGAGAAGGGTGACGCTCCGCTTACAGAGGCAGATGTAAAGTTCAGATAAGGCAGTTGGCTGGTGGCTGTCAGCAATCAATACTTGGATGGATCTGAGCACTACGTTTTAGTAGGCTACATAGCACCTCTGTGGGCTTCTTAAAAATGAAACCTGTCCCCCTTTTCGTCTGAGAGTCCGCTGTTGGGGCGATTAGCATGGACTTTGTAAAGGCTCCCAGGAGAATCAGCTGCTCGCCTGGCATGAGACCTGCCACCTCACCCCCATCCTGGTCTAGTAGGCCAGGGAGCCCCCAAGGCAGCCTGACATCACCGTCGCCAACCTGCTTGTAAGAATAATGTAAATTCCCGGGCTTTACGGAGGCTTTGGTTCAGAGGCCTGCGCCTCACCCTCCTGCTTCCGGCGATGGCCGTCGGAGGGCGCTGCGGCTCCGCGAGTCGCTTCCGGGCTTGGCGAGGGAGGGCGGGGCGTAAGCCGGAACCTGGTGGCGGGTTCCGCCCTCGCGCTGGGGAGGAGTCTCGCAGCATTGCTGGAGCTGAGGCGTTTTCTGCAGTCTTGTCGCCCTCCCCACCGACATCATGCTCCAGTTCCTGGTGAGTGGGGCCTCCGAGGATCGGGCCCCGCGGTCGCCTGGTTCTCCCAGTATCCCGGGTCGGCGGTGCACGGCTCTAGACTTGGGGCTCGAGCTGGTCGAGCGACCTCTGGGTCGCTCGCGTCGCTCCCCTCCGAAGTCCTTCTGTCTTTGCCTGGGTTTATAGGCAGTCGTTCACGTTCCGAAAACTTGGAGATGTCAGGGAGATTGGTGCGTTTTCAAAACCATTTACTGTGAGCTCTTTGCGTGATCCTCGTAGTAAGTTTGGTCTGAGGAGTCCTTAATGACTTGGCTCCTTTCCCCTCACCCCCATAGACCCTATCCTAGAGTCAACCTGATAGTTGGCTTATTGAGACCCTAGAGTGCCTTTCAAGAGTTGTGCATTAGCCACCTCAGGAGGTCGGAGCAAGAGACTCACAGGAGCCCTTTTCAGACCTTCACAGGTTGTACTTTAAGGAGAGAGTCAGACTGCACAAGTAACTTTTAGAACTCCCCTTTTTGGGAGGGGAGTGCAAAATTATTTCAAGTTTCCTTTTTGTATTAGCACGTTTTCTGGCAGAAATCAGGTACTTCTAAAAATTTCCTATTGGGGATTCCAGGATAACTTGCCAGTCAAATTTTCAGAACGTTTTCAAACTTGATGTTTCATCCTCTAATAAAGCAGACAGCAGCCTCTTTATTTCAGATGGTCAGTGGCCACCTGGTACTCTGGGAATGAGTTGCTTTGAATCCAGTTAGCCCAAACAGGATTGTTGACATAAACTGCCCCACAGGCTGCTGCTCCCCTGCCTCTGGGGGTTTCTGCAGTGTTTAACTAGGCATTAGTTTAGGAGGTAGGAGCAAGTGTCCAGCAGCTAGTGGAAGACTGTATAATTGGCTCCTTCTGCGTCTGCTGCTTACTGAGAAGTAGGGAGAACATTAATTTAATATACACTTAACTTTTTAAGTGCTTTTGTTGAATGAGTCTATTTGATGTGGGACTAAACTACACTGTACCAACATAGGTATTTGAGAATTTGAGAATTCAGATGTTTCAACATATAAGGGGAGATGCTGAAGCCTACCATTAGATTCTTACCTGAGATGTAACTGTTCTCTTCTCTCCTCTTCATTGCTTTTGTTGGGAAAGGTGGATACAGATGGACAGAGGTGGAATCACCTCAGGTTGGGGAACTTGCTCAAACTGTTAACTTCTTCAAATCTTGCTCTTTACATCAGCTGTTTCCTCCAGAGAACACTGGCCTAATGTTTAAGAGTTTACACTCTAGAATCACACTTGAATTTGTACCCTATCCTTATTCTCAAGATGTGGGGGTTTGGGCAGATTGTTTAAATTTTCTGTGCATCAGTTTGCACTTTGAGAGGTTTCAGAAGGGGCCAATACATCAAGCACCGACATTTAATAAAGGTTGAGATACAGCCCTTTCTCTTTTGAAGGTATCAGAAATCCAGATGATAGGGTGTGATGGAGTGATCCCAAGCTCAGTGTTTGCCTGCAGCTGCATACTGTATAGCTGTGTGATACATCTGGGGGCTCTTGAGAGCTTATGCATTTGATTGTGTTGCTTCTCTGCTCCTTTCCCCTTAGTTTAAAATGGATAAGCGTTATCCCTATTTCCACATTGCACTGCACAGCTTGCTCCTAGCTTGGCTGTAGTTATTTTAAGGAACACTGAGATGGTCCGATCGCGAGCCCTGCTGTGCCATTTCACAGCACCTGTAGTACTGCCACAGTTGTCACTCTTGCCTCTTGAGCCCAGCCTTCTCACCTCCTCCTCAACTCATCCCCGTTCAGCTTTTTGGGCCTGTGCACTGTGCTGTCTAGGTTCTGTCATGTTGTAACTCAGAATCGAAGTGTGAGGGTGACTGGCCCCTGCTCTTGCAGTGTGGTCCATATCTGGGTGTAGCAGCTGGGAAACTCCCTGTCTCTCTAATCTTTCGAGTTTTTACCGGCTTCTTCCTTCTGCTCTGAGTTACTGTGAATTGCTCAAGTCTGGGTCTTGAGCTGGCTGTGCTCTTAAATTTACCCTTAGGGAATGTGTTCTTTATCAATCTGTCACCTTTCACATCTTCAGTAATAGCTTCCAAAACTGTCTCTGTGTGTTCCAGATCCCTAGTATCAACTATCAACATCTCTTGTTTGCCTTTCTCTCAGAGTCAATTCATATGGATTGATTATTTCTTCCTGCTTTCCCAATCCTTTCCCCACACTTAAACTCCTACATTTTTGAAATTTTTGACATAAGCTTTGATTTCTTTCTTTTATTATGGGGGCTGGAGGGATGGCTCAGAGGTTAAGAGCACTGCTGCTCTTCCAAAGGTCCTGAGTTCAATTCCCAGCAACCACATGATGCTTCATAACCATCTATGATGATATCTGGTGCCCTCTTCTGACATTCAGGTGTACATGCAGGCAGAACACTGTATACATAATAAGTAAGTAAGTAAGTAAATAAATAAATAAATCTAAAAAACCCCCCCAAACTTCTTTATTTTATTATTCATTTTATTTATTATTACTTTTATTGTTGATATATGTCTGACATATATACTCATTTGTTTATGTAATCTTAAAGTCATGTAATACAGTAGGTGTATTTTCAGGACAGCAAAGTGTTTTTTTTCTTACATCACATTTATTTATTTATATACCTACCTGTTTATTGCTTTGTCTCTACTGTGGGGGCCTGCAAGTGACAGCCTCTGGCACTTGTTCTTCTTCCATGTGGGTTCTGGGGATTGAACTCAGGTTGCCAGGCCTGGTGGCAAGGGTGTTTACCTGCTGAGCCATTTTCCAGGCCAGGCCTGCTGTGTAGTCTCCAGTAGGATCTCTAATTGCTCTGTGCCTCAGTTTGCCCGGCATAAACTGGGCCATTAATAGTGGCTTTATAAAATTGTGAAGACGAGTTAATGAGAGAGTTAGAACATTGCCTTTCATGTGGGCTATCAGGTCTTCATGGCTGACTCACGGAAGCTTGCTCTGTTGGGGTAAGTTATTTCCTTTCTGCTCTCAGCTGTTGAGAGCCCTGGCTGCTCTTCCAAAGGATTTGGTTCCATTTGCTGTGTAGGGTAGAGGCTCATAACATCTGTAACCCCAATCCTAGGGGAGCTGGCGTTCTTGTTTGGCCTCTGTGGGCACTGCACACAAGTAGTGTACATTATACATGTGGGCAAGACAAACTTAGCTTTCATTAATTCTAGTTAGTTAATGTATAGTTTTGAGTTGTAGATGTTCTTACCATAAACTAAATATCATTTTAGTTTTCCTTTTCAATGCTAGCATGTGGCTCTATTTGCTTAATTCTTTTTCTTTTCTTTTTTTAAAGATTTATTTATTATGTATACAATGTTCTATGTGCATGTACACTTGCAGCCAGAAGAGGACACCAGATCTCGTTATAGGTGGTTGTGAGCCACCATGTGGTTGCTGGGAATTGAACTCAAGACCTCTGGAAGAGCAGCCAGTGCTCTTAACCTCTGAGCCATCTCTCCAGCCCTTAATTATTTTTCTTTAAGATTTATTTTTATTATTTTAAGTGTTTGCGTTGGTGTGTGTGTATCTGTGGGGCAGAGACATTAGATTCTCTGGTGAGTTACAGGTAGTTGTGAGCTGCCTGATCCTTTGCTAGGAATGTTCTCATCCTCTGCATGTGCTCTCAGCCGGCTCGCCAGTCCTTCTTTTTAGACTCTTAAACCCTGGTCAGTAACTTGGGCTTGGCTATGTTATTTTTGAGAGTACAATTTGATGAGTCACAGTTCAGACTCGTGGGCCACTTTGGGTAAGATAAATGTGGTTTTGTTTGCTAATCTCCAGACACAGCAGCCTTCTGAAGGGGCCGGGCTCCAGCAGCTGGTAGATGTCTCTGTTTTGAAGTAGGCTTTTTTAGTGTTGATGGATAAAGTGTTGTTGACTGATGTGTTCACGTGTTAAAAAAAGTTCATTTATAATAGTTTCACATTTCTCCAGACTCTCTCTTTCATTTGGCTGGTTCTTTTTTGTTCTTTTGGCATGTCCATTCTTTGTAACAAAGTCTAGTTTGGAAGCTACAAAGTTGTCTTTGGTTTCTTCCATTTCATCCCAGGTACCTGGATTATATTATGATTTTTTTTTTCTTTGGCATCGCGACAAAAATTTCCCCATTTAATGTATGTAATTCAGTGCTTTAGTGTGCTCAGATTGTGTAGCTATCACTCCTCTCTGGTTTTATATAAAAAGAAACTGTGTAGTGTAAGGATTCATTTTTCATTTCCCTCTTCTACTTGGACAGTCACTGGTTATTTTGTATCACTATGGAATTGTCTGTTTTCTGTATTTTTTAATATACTCATACAGCATATCCTCTTTTTTGACTGCCCTTGACAACACTGTCAAGGCTGGTGTGTGTGTATATGTGTGTGTGTGTGTGTGTGTGTGTGTGTGTGTGTGTGTGTGTGTAAATGAATCAGCCAGTGCTTCATTTCTTTTTATGATGTCTGTTTGTAAAATTTTGTTAATCAACTTGCCATTGTTTCAACTTTGGTGTTAGGAATGGTTAAGCCAGGAATATTGATGTAGGCATTTTTGTTGGGGCTTATGTTCCATTTTTTGGTTTATGCCCACATTGGAGCTGTCACATCATGTAACCCTGCACCAGCTCTTTGAGAAGTGGCTAGATGGCTTTCCAGATTAGCCATGCTGCTGTACACCAGCGGACTGTCAAGACCCTTAGTCTCCTCGGCTTGCCAACATTTGTTTGTTCTGTTTTGTTTTGAGAAAAGCCATCTTAGTGGGTGCGGCATGGTTCCTCAAGGTTTTGATTTGCATTTCCTCAATGACTAACTGGTCAAACATCTCATGGGCTTGTTGACTGTCTCCTTTGGAGAAATCACTTCAGAGCTTTTGCTTTCTTTTTAAAATTGAGTTATGTTTCTCTTTCAGGTAACTGTAAAAGATCTTTATTCTGGATAAATAAACCATCAGATATATGGTTTGCAAATAATTCTATTTTGTGGTTTGTCCTTTTTCTTTGATGATATTCTTTGAAAGGCAAACATTTTAAAATTTTACATATTGTGTGTGTATGTGTGTGTATTGGTGTATGTATGTACACATGAATATGCAGGACTAGTTGGCTGTGTAGGCCGGAGGCCAGGTTTGGACTTCCTTCTCTTCTCTGTTCCTGCCTGTTGACCATGTCCTGAAGCGAGCATGTTTTCATGACCTCCTTGGTTCTCCTTCATTTCTCTGAATGAACAACACTTCTCCCGTTGTGTTGTGCATAATATTCAAAATGTCTCAGCCAAGCAGTGGTAACACACGCCTGTGATCCCAGCACTTGGGGAGGCAGAGGCAGGTGGATCACTGAGTTTGGGGTCAGCCTGGTCTACAAAGAGAGTCCAGGACAGCCAAAGCTACACAGAGAAACCCTGCCTCAGTAAACAAACAAACAAATAAATAGTCGCATTATAGATCTGGTAGTGTCCTGAATCTGGAACATGGTGCTGTTTATTGAGGCCCGTAGACTTTGTTTTGTGTTGTGTTCTAAATTAACTTCCTTTCTCTTGTGCCCCAGTACTTGGTGACATTGTCAAAACAGAGCCATACTAGATAGCCTTTGTTTATTTTGAGACACACATAGTAAGAATTAGGAATTGGGGCTGAAGAGATGCCCTCCAGAGGTCCTCAGTTCAATTCCCAGCAATCACATGGTGGCGCACAACCGTCAATAATGAGGTCTGGTGCCCTCTTCTGGCGTGCAAGTGTACATGCACACAGAACATTGTACAACACATTAAAAAAAAAAAAGAATTGGGAACTGTAAGTCTGAGCTGGAACATGCCAGTGTTAGGCTGTTTTAGAGACTGGGAAGCTTAGCAGAGTTGGGGTAGGCTGAGTGGCTCAGCGGAAGGCATGCAGATGGCACTCAGAAACCAGAGTTCTCGTGTCAGTGTTTCTTCGCCATGTCTGTTTTCTTCCTGCTAGGTATTAGAATTAGCATCCTCAAGGATTTATTTCCTCTCCTTTTAAATTTTGTCTCAAATTTAATTATTTGAAAATTTCAAAAACTTGTGGTTTGAATCTGCTAGAGTGAAAAAAGCAGTTCTCACATGACAATGGAAATGATTTTTAAAAAGCATCAGAGAATGGTCAGCGATTAGAAACTAGATAGCCTCTTTGTGTTTCTTGCTAGCAGCAAATCAATTTAAAATTGCTTTTGGAATTCAAAGGTTAAGTAGAGGAGAGACCCAGTTGTGTTTCTTGTTTTTGTTTTTGTTTTTCCTTTTTACCCTTTAGGGGTTATTTTTACTGTTTTTAGTGTGTTGGGGGCAGGGCGTTCATTGCCAACAGTAACAAGGTGTTGGTTATTGCTGGAGTTGGTTGGCGGTGGACTCGGTTGTGAGTTAGCCAGCCTGGTGATGGGAACTGAACTCTGGTTCTCTGGTCCTCAGCGGTGTTTTAACTGCTGGTCCATCTCTCCAGAACCCCCGTCTGTATCCTGGCCACACCTGCATCTAGTTGGAAGGTCACCTGTACACACCTCATGTGTGATTGACAGTACCATTAAGTGCTGTTCTTTGATTTCTGTTGTAAGTTCTCTATTGAGATTGAGCAGAAGCAACACTGTTTAAACGAAATAATGGGGATAAAAGGTAGATGCCAGTTTGAATTTATTAAGTTAGAAACTAGCCTGCAGTTTCGAGCTCTGAAGTAAAGAATTGCTGGGGGAAAGCAGAATTATCATTAAAATGCAAAGTAGTGGAGCTCTGGTCCATTTGTGTATAGGGAGTAACTCTAAATTTTCAGGCGAATACTCACCCAGTGAAACAAACATTTATAGTTCTCTAAAAATTGTTCCTGTCCCTTTAGTGGTTGAGTGGGAGCCACAGACCTCAAGCATCCTGCCCTTTATCCCCACCCTTGGTGTTGTGCTAGGCTCCATGATGTGTCAGAGTTTCCTGTTCTTTTTTGCCCTTGGGGATCTGAGTTTCTGAGTAACTCAACTTGTCTGGTGCTGCTTTGTGAAAAACCCTGAGCAAACCACTATAGTGCTTTTGAAATATGGAGAGTTTGAACTCCAAGAGTCCCTTTATTTTCTAAACTCTTTTGATTCAAATGATTTTTTTTTCTTTTTCTTTTCTTTCTTTCTTTTTTTTTTTTTTTTTTTTTTGAGACAAGGTTTTTCTGTGTAGCCTTGGCTCTCCTGGACTTGCTTTCTAGACCAGCCTGGCCTGGAACTCAGAGATCTACTTGCCTCTGCCTCCGCAAGTGCTGGGATCACAGGAGTGTGCCACTGAGCCTGGCTATTTGTTGTTGTTTTCAGACCAAGTCTTGCTGTGTAGGTGTGGGTTGGAATTCTGATTGTGTAGCTGGGACTCTCTGTGTAGACCAGGACGGCCTCTCCTTGTCAAGGATCCTTATGCCTCTGTCTCATGAATGTTGGATGGCAAGAGTGAGCCACTGTGCCCAGGTCCGGTGTGTGTTTGTAACTGACTTTTTATAGGCTATGGACAGGAGTACCACAAATAAACAGTAACAAACAATAGTGACAAAATCAGAATCAACGTTGGTTTCTAGACTTCCGTTCAGGACTTTATGGGGACTTGGAGGGGGTAAGGGGAACTTGCTCCTAGCCACCGATTATTCTGTTGTGGGCTTTTAAATGTTGGTACATGGCACATGCGTGTGATTGTGTCGTAGAAGAAAGTGTGACTCCTGTGTTGTATGCACTCCTACACTGACACCCTGAGCATCACAGACATGCTCTTCTTGGAGAGATGTGGCGTGTGTCTGGCTTGGTTGCGGGCTCAGGGTGGTTTTGTCTGAAGCATAACTCCTGTTCTGTTCTTTCAGCTTGGATTTACTTTGGGCAACGTGGTTGGAATGTATCTGGCTCAGAACTATGACGTAAGTGGCCATGTTCACATCTGTCTTGACTTCTGTAACTGTTGCATAGTTATTTTTCTCTCTCAAGGTGGTTTACCTCCTAGCGTAAATGAGGTCCCTAAGAGTGAGTCCTTAATTTTATGGACAGCTTTTCTGTTAGAACAAGTAACTGAATTCACAGAAGTGTTCCCTTAGAGAGCGTGGTCATGTAAGGAAGGCATTTGCTCAAGTGGGGAGTTAGGTCAACCTCACTCTAAGGATGAGGGTGTCACAACCAGATGGGGATCCTAGAAGTGGTTTTAGAAAGACAGGGTTATATTTTCTTCTGTACTAAGAGTTTTCGTGTGACAGCAGGGTTCCCATCACTTGCATATCATTTTCTAGTTAGGGACGTTATTGCTTTATCATTTATTGCGTATAAATATGTCTTTTAGCTAGCACTGAGTTGAAGGCCCGAGTGCGTATGTAAAGGGTGAGCTGGGTCTGGCTTTCAGAGAGTGAGCATAAACTTGACACTGATAGCTTGTGTATGTGGGTATGAAGCAAGGAAATATCATTACTATTAGGGCTCCTCCAGGGGAGATCAAAGCCATGACAAAGCTATTTGTCCTTAAAAGGAGAGACATGCAAGAATATTGGTTGTTCTTTCTACCTATAGCAAAATTATAATGCTCCTTTTTTCTTTTTAAAGATGCCAAACATGGCTAAAAAGCTTGAAGAGATTAAAAAGGACCTGGAAGCCAAGAAGAAGCCCCCCAGTTCCTGATGCCCACCTGGCACTGCATTCTGGACCCACCAGTTCCGTCCTGAGGGGCCTGCCTCTTTCATAGCCACACCCGAAGCTCTGTTGCTCTCGGGTCTCAGATCCCGTGTGTTGCCTCAGAGCCAGCACAGGCAGAAGTCGGGTCAGCTTTGCTTCCAGCAGCTCCCCCTCCTCCTGTATCTTCTGTCCAGCTGCTTCTGAGTCCTAAGACTATGGTGCTAGGTTAGCAAACGCGGCCTGTACTTGTACTCGCTCACCTGTCCTTTGCGAGTTCTGCCGCCTGTTGTCAAAAGAAAAATGAATGGATTTGGATAGCTGCTTTTACTGTCTAGCAGCTTGCTAGATGAAACTCAATCTTGTTGTCAAATTAAACTCAGTACCTTTAAGCCAGTTTCCGGTGAATTATCCATTTATTTTATATTGTTATCAAGGAGCTGCATGATTGATAATTAACCAGTAAACTCTGGGAAAACTTAAAACATTCAAAATAGTTGTTGTTCAAAGGAAGTTCAGTCTATTTAGTCTTTTTAGTCCTTAATGATATAGTTGAACTGACTCTGCCATCAAAGGTCCATTCTTTATGCTTGTGCTTGGCATGATATGACGGGTGGATAAGTAAGAAACTGTTGATAAAAGAACGTTACTTGGTTTTACATTAAATTTGTACTAATTGTATAACTTTATAGCGATTCCCCTCAGAGAAATGTGGTCTAAAGTGTGTGATAAAATGAGTCTCTTGGGGACCTTCTGCTACTCCCCACAGTTGAAGCTTCTTCCCCCCTGAATTCAATATGATGTTCAAGCATCATCATCTCCCAGGGTGACTACCCAGGGATGTGGTAAACTCCTGGGCTCAAGCAATCCCCCTGCAGTAGCCTCCATGTGCTGGGACTACAGGTGTGTACCATGGTGTCTGGCCTAGTCCATAATTGTTTTAATCAAAAAAAATTTTAAAGCTAACTGTTCACACAGGAGATGATATGAAAGTGATTTTTGCCTCTGTCTTGTTCCCAGGTCCAAATCCTCAGGCATTCCTGTTGTCAGTTTCCTGTGTGCCTTTGAGAAGGACTGTTTTTATTCTTTTTACAACAGTTGGTGGCAAATTATATATACATACACACTCAAATTCTTTTTGTTTTGTCCTTTCAGTTTTGTTTGTTTGACATGTGTCACGAAGCCTCTACTTTATAGTCAAGGATGACCTTGAACTTCTGATTCTCCTCTGTCTCTCAGGTGCAGGGATTATAGGTGTTTACCACCATGCCTAGTTTTTTTTTTTTTTCTTTTTCTTTTTTTTTTTTCTTTTTTGAGACAGGGTCTCACTGTGTAGCCCTTGCTGTCCTAGAACTTGCTGTGTAGAACAGGCAGCCTCAGAGATCTGCCTGTGTCGACCCCCTCAGTGCTGGGATTACAGGCGACTCATCATACTTGCCTGGCTTTTTTATTTTTGATGGAGAACATTCCTGTCAGCATGTTAACCTTACCCCTTTGCTCTCTGTGTAAGACCCCATTGACTGGGGATCGGGAGTTGGACGTGTCCTGATGAGTGGTGTTTCTTTGCTGCTGTGGGGGAGCTGCACCTACTGTCCACATCTGCCCAGCTCGTAGCTATAAGCTACACCCTAACAGTCTAGTTGGTATTAAAACAGAGCGTCTTGTTTCAGAGGCCTGCTGGGTAGCTTCTTTTTGAAGATGTCTTAGCAACAGCAAGTTTCAGGAATTGCTTAGAGACTGCTGTTCTCAGGGATGATGATACTCACTCACGTGGGCGTCAGCACATGGCGCTCCTCCCAAGAGACAGCTAACCCCGGGAAGTCACCCTTATGCGAGACAGAAGAAGAGCAAATTATGGTTCAGCTTCTTTTTCCCCCAACAGTTGGGAGTGAGCAGAGGGTGCGCTCTTCTGAAACTCTTTGTAACACCTACCTCTTGAGGGTTTTGTGGGAAACAGTTGAGATGCTGTCCATGCTCTGTTCTATCGTGCTTTCCCAGCTGTCCAATAAATAGCAGATACTAGTTGAAACGTGCTGCTTTGGGCTATCCTACTTCCGTATTTCTGGGGTCACTTTGGAGTCAGTTCATGAATCATGGACAGTGTGGTGCTATTCTGTGGTCAGTCTCTTGGATATTGATGAGAATACACAGTATCCAGTATCTACTGAGCTTGTATCGTCTGGCTCAGAATATTTGACTGTGAACAACAGCCTCAGAGAAGAAAGGTGTGCCATACTTGAGGACATTCAGAATGCTGGATAGAGGCTTACTTAGCAAGCTGTTTGCAAAAAAAGGACCATCATGACAGTTTCCTTGTATGAGTGGCTGCCTTGGAGATAATGGGCTTTAGATATTAGATTAAGTCTTTATTATAAATATAAATAAAGATTTCTTTATATTATCTTTACGTGTGTGTCTCCATGTGTGTATGTATGTTTGTGTGAGTGCAGGTACTCTGTGGAGACAAGAGGGTTCAGATCCTGTGGAGCTGGAGTTAGAGATGCTTGTTAGTCACCTGACGGGGATACTGGGAACTGAACTCAACTCTCTGGATGAGCAGCAAGTGCTGTTAACTCCTGAGCCATCTCTTCAGTCCCAAGGTCTTTTTACGTTATATTATGTAGTCAAACTCGATGACTGAGGGCTTCCCTCAGGAGCGACTCTTACCTGTACCGGTGGAATTGTTTCTGTAAGGGGAGCCTTATTAATTTGGCTCCACCGTAGTAGAAATTGGCACACAGTATAGGCTAGTTGCAAATTTGCGACTCAGGTTCAGTCTCCTGGTTTTTGCTATTTTTATTTTCTGGTCCTGGGGATCAGACTCCAGTCCTTGAGCATGCTGGGCAAGTGCTGCCCTGGAGAGCTGTATCCCCAGCCCTGGCTGGCTGTTCTGTAGCAGTGAAGGGTAGCTCAGTTCTTGGGCAAGACATTTGCCATTGACATACATGTTGGAAGACTCTGGAACTGTTGTTAAGTCATGGGGAGGCAGCGGTTGGAAATTAGTAATATGTTTGGGGTTGCGATGGTGATCATGGGAAGACCCATCACCAAGACATGCCTCTGCTTCTCCTTTTAAAAAAATACCTGAGGAGCTGGAGAGAGAACTCAGTGGTTAAGAGCACTGGCTGCTCTTCCAGAGGTCCTGAGTTCAATTCCCAGCAACCACATGGTGGCTCACAACCATCTAAAATGGAATTTTATGATCTTTTGTGTCATGTAGGTATCTATACAGATAGAGTGCTCATACGTATAAGTAAATAAATCTTTAAAAAAAAATACCTGAAAATTCTGGGATACATATTTTTAAGAACTTTGCCTTGGGTGACCCTTCCTCCCTCTCATTCTATTTCCTGTTCTCCCTTCCTCCATTTTCTTTTCTTCCCTCTTTTCCGGTTTCGTCTTCTCTTCCTCCCCTTTACTATTCTAATTTAGCTCTCTATCCCCTCATCTGTCTATCCGTCCTCATTCGTACATCCTCTATCCCATCATCCCTATAACATTCTCCATCCACCATCCACTCAGCCGTCTTTCATCCATGACATGTGAAATAGAAAACTTTAGGATTGTTGGGATTTTTTTTTTTTCTTTTTCCAAGACAGGATTTCTCTGTGTGGCCCTGGCTGTTCTGGACCAGGTTCGCCTCAAACTCAGAGATTCACCTGCCTCTGCCTCTGGGATTAAAGGTGTGCACCACCATCGCCCAGCGTGATTGTTGGAAATTTAATTATTATAATAAACTTAAGACGTATCCTTAAACTATAAACCTAGGGAAAAGAACACCTAACATTTAGTATTTGCAAAGGCTGACATTTCGTGAGTGATTACGATGGCATCTTTCAAGTTCTAAGTTGGTGTTTTATGGAGTTAAGCAGATACCTACTTCTGGTGTAAGGTAGAAATTCCATTTCTCTTTTTTCTGACTTACTCAGTTTTCTTTACCATAGCTACAGAGAAAAGTAAGATGCATGATTTTCCTCATCTGTCCTGCTGGTCAGGGTGCACATGTCCACATGTGTAATGTTTTCATTTCCATGAGCTGTTCACGCCCTAGATACTGCAATAGTGTTTGTTTTTCTGTTGAGGTCTCCCACATTTTAAATGTTACTTTCAGTCTCCTTGTGAAAGAACACTCTACTGTATGGTAGCAAATGAGGTCTTTCTGAAGCTTCCAGGCTTGGGATTGCTCCTGACGCATTTGAATGAGTTCTTTTTTCCCTGTCTTGGGGCCTTGCCCTATGGAAAGGAACAGGGTAGTGAAGGGAAAATATTTTAAGGCCTTGCTTGTTCTTTATAAGGAGTTTGTGGTACTTAGAATTGTGGGGGTTCAGTATATACTTTACCTAGGTCTGTTTGCAACATATTCAGCCAAGTGAAGAGGATGTCAAAGATGGCAATTTTATTAAGGCACAGTGAAGGCAAAAATAACGGAGGGGGATTTTATGGAAAGACTTCAGGGTGGAGCATGGCCAGACGGTGGGGAAAGCATGGTGAGTTGTGTCATCTTTCATGTGCAAATGCACAGGATTGGGATAAAGTGCAATGTAAGTCCAGTGTTCACTTAGTGAGACTTTCAGTCCCTTTATGTTTGAGTGGTTTAAGGGTCTGAGGGTGATTGTAATGTTTAGAGGTACTTTTGCAAGCAGAGTCTCTGCATTGAAACCAACTGTGCTCATTCGTTATTCACAAGAGATTGGTTCCAGGTCTTCTGGAGAGAGCAAGATCCAAGATGTTCAAGTCGCTGATGTAGTGGTGTGTACCCGCATACGGCTGCCACCTCCTTTGAGGGGAGAAAAGTAATAGTTTACGAAAACCGAGATGATGGATCTAAGTCTTCGTGACATGCGAATGCCAAGTGCAGGAGATCATGCACGCGCTCAGTTGCTGTGTTCTAGTTTCCTTTCTGTTGCTGTGATGAAACCCTCAACCAAAAGCAACTTGAGCAAAAAGTTTATTTTGCTTACAGGTTACAGACCATCAAAGGAAGCCAGGAGCTAAAGGCAGGAACCCAGAGGCAGAACTCGAAGCAGAGGCCTAGGAGGAGTGCTGCTTATTGATTTGCTTCCCCTGGCTTGCTCAGCTACCTCACACAGCCCAGGTCCACCTAACCAGGATAGCATAGCCTACAGAGGGTTGGGCCTCTTTACATCAATTAGCAATTACGAAAATGCCCCATAGACATGTCCCCAGGCCAATCTGATATGGCCAGTTCTTCAGTTGAGGTTCCCTCTTTCCAGATCTGTTGAGCTGACACCTGAAGGTAGTTAACTATATGGATGACTTTAAGGAGTTTCAAAGGCGGCTTTGAGCAAATTTGATGTGCAGCTTACAAGAATGCGATGCAGCCATACTTGATGTCCTAGCTCGTTTCATCATCTGGAAGGTGAGCTGCTATAAGAGGGTTGCATTTTTACCAATACTCTGTGATATTAGCAAACAAAAACCAAATCCTACCAAGAGAGGGGCTGGGAGGGAAGTGCCTTTAAGGTGACTAGAGTCTGACCGCGTCTGCTGCTCCATCATCGAGATAGGCAGTCATAGTTGGCCTGAGTATGGGGTGGGGAAGAAAGTGCTGATCTTGAGCAGAGCCAGGTCTGACCGTGATGGTTGAAGGCATTGGCTAGTGAAGACCCTGGCTGAAGCTGCCGTGGGCTGTGCCATTGCTTTCCCTGAGAGACTCAGGTTGCTTGAAGGTGGCCAGTGATTCCAAGTACACGTACTTGATCCAAGTTTCCTTTCTTTTTTTCCCCTTCTATACTCCCCGAATCATGTCACCCATGTTTGTCTTACCATCTGATGCAAGGTTCTTAGAGTTCTGTTAAGGTTCAGAAATGTGACTAGCATTCCTGACAATAGCGGAAACACCCTGACTCAAAACATTTTAAAGCCGGTTGCGTAGGGAGGCCTCTGCTTCAAGCCAGGTGTGCTATTGGTGCTGTGTGTGGGCCTTTGGAGTCTCCACCATTGTGATTGGCCAAGTATTGGCCGTGCTAATTAGTAAGGCAGAGGTAGCCGTGTTCCTGGTCAAACCTGGTTGAGCACATTCTGTGGAGCTTGGAAGTGTTGACAGACACACAGGGAACCTAACAACCTAGGCTCCAAGTAGGCTAAAGGTGTGATTTAGCAGATAAACTGTCATGAGAAAAGCATATGTCCAGTATAGAAACCATGTACACAGTAGTAACAAAATGGTCACAACAGCATAGTAACTGCGGGGGACTCCTCCTTTTCAAGACACATTTAGCGAGACTGACTGATAGTGAAATCAGAAGTGTAGAATGGCAGCAAACAGGATAGGGATCTCCATCTAGTCACCCATTTTTCTAATGGGAAAAATGACACTGTTCTCAAGAGGAAGGAGGAGGCCTCGCTTTGCAGTGATTTTTTTTTTTTTATCAGAGACATTTATTGAACAATTAGAGTTTAATACATTGTGAAGAGCCCAAGACACAGCTTCCCTCAAAGGGCTCACGGATGCATGGGAAAGACTGACTGGTAGGACCTCTGAGTACTACCCAGAACTTGGTGTTCTCAGAAACAAGCTAGTTCTTAAATGGAGAAGCAAGTGTTAGCAATAACACCATGGTCTTAGTTGTAGTTTTGGTCTTCCTAGTAAGGCAGGTATGAGCCTCTTTCCTCCCTCACTGCACCCACAGGCGGTGGCATTTCCAGTTGATGACCGTGCATAGAGGTGCTGATCTCATGATGGTTGGCTTGTTTCAACCTCTTTTCTTTGATGGAATAAGGCCAGCTTCTTTCTGAAGGGAAACGGCATTTCTTTACAGGAACTTGATGCTGAGGTAAAGGGGAACCAACAAAGAGAGACTTAAGGCAAATAAAACGTATGAAAGTATGGACTGCCGTGAGGAGGGCCTGCTAAGCCTTAGGACGCAAGGTTGCTGTTTCCTAGAGATAGGGTAGAGAAGCCTGAGATCGCCAGGTAAGGCCTTCCCCCAGATGTGAGGCCACAGGTCTCATGACCTGCATAGGCAGGGTGCTTCTGGCAATCTCCGATTTCTAGGCTGGTATGACAGGGAACATCAAGCCTAGTGAGGCCAGTCAGTCTGTGAGGCTTCCCCTTGGGGAACGAAGGCTTGCAGTGCTTCCCATCTTCAGGAAGAGTTAGGCTGGACATGGGAAGAAAGCAGCTGTAGGCCGTTGGTGGTAAGGGTAGCAGGCAGGCTGGGAAGGAGACACAGCCAACATGCCTGCTGGCGAGTGGAGGAATCTGCTGGCAGTAATCTCCTCCATAGGGTCTGGGGTGTGTGCTCCTGGTGGCTTTCTTTGCCTGTAGCTCAACTCCGGCTGTGGTAGTTAACTGTCCGCTTGTATTAGGTCTGATGAGTGATGTTGCTGGCCTTAGCCCACGCTGGGAAAGTGTCCAGGTGGAAGAGGCTGACTCCCCAAGTGTTGATGGCCACCATCACAATCACCAGGCCAATGACATTGACTCCCAGGCCAGCTTTCACCTGCAGGACAAAAGCCAGAAGACCCTGGTCATTCTGAGTCAACAGCAGTCAGATTTGTCTCAAGTGAGCCCTTTCTAGGGCTAGCCTGTAGCCTTGTCCCCATGCAGATCTGGTTTCTCCCAGGGGCTGCCTGGGCTGCTCTATTCTGCCTCACTGAGTTGCACCCATCGGTGGAAGGACTGGAAAGGCAGGAGGCAGTGGGGGATGGGAGAGACTGATAAGAATCACTGCTGCTTCTGGCCTGCAGCATGCCCATCCTACAGTAGAAGCCTAGGAGACCTGTGGGCTACTTGGGAAACTCTGGGGAATGTTGTTATTCGGAACGTAGAGCCTCCTAAGTGCTCATGGACATTAAGAATGTAGGAGAGGCTGTATTTTGCCACTGTTACAATCCCCCATCCCCACCCCCACCCCCCATGGAACAGCTGAGGGATATAGAGTACCTTGGGTTACTTACAGAAGTAGCTGCCACTGCTCATCACTGCCTGCCCCCGACACACACACACACACACACACACACACACACACACACACACACACACAC